ACTTCTTATAAAGAATGCAAAAAACTAAATTAAATTAAGGCACACACAGGCCTTAATATGAAAGGCTTTGATATTTTATAACGTTTGAGGCTGTATGGAAGACAATATATTAAATAATCGATATTAATAAAACATTAAGGATTGCTGCTAAATGTATATTTTTTTAGGTGTTTGAATTATATGTTTAGATGGAGTTCCTAATTGATATTTGATTAGTTGTAATAATTATATTATTGTTTATAATATAAATATTTTATTAACAACATAAATAATTCCATAATAATCTCTTTTTAGTAAAAATAAAGATTTTTAACTCCAAATCATATAGTGAGAGTAAGTTTAAAAGATAAAAAAGATATTTCTAATTGTATAATTCAAAATAAAAAACAACATAAGCATCTTATTTATTCTGATTAAAGCTAATTTTTGATAAATATTATTAATATCTTAAAACAAACGACATTTCTGCAGAAGTAAAAGAGACGCTCTACTCCTCCAGTTCTTGTTTTTTAAAAAAAAATAAAAAGGCTTTTTTTTTTTTAGGTAAATAATGGCTATTTACATGGTATACAGTATACCCCAACCAGGGACACTGGCCGACTAAAAATGACACTTATCTTTGGCCGACCGAAAAAGATACTTATCTTTATCAAAAAGAAACCGTCCTCATTCGTTGGCTTGCCGGGTCTTGAACTTACTCACGTCAATCTCAATGCCCTCCTCACGGGCAACGTTCCCCACCAGCCTGTTCTTTACTCAGTCATCCTTTGCGGCCTATTTCTTCGTAGCCTTCCCGTTCCCACCCGTTCCTTCCTCGTCTGTCCTCCTTTACTCCCTCCTCGCTGCCTTCCTCAATTAATTAATTTTCCAACCAAAATAAATATCTGCAAACAACCACCATTAATTAATTATATGTTGAGGACGCAAAAAAAAAAAAAAAACTTATTAATTATTTATTTATTTTTAATTTTAAATTATATAATAAAAATAATTATTTTCATCTTTTAACTCTCTTAACATATTTTTTACTCTTTTTTTTAATGAAAAAAAAATATCACTAATTAATTAATTCATATGCATGGCAAAATTAGTTTGTTACCTTCAGCCAGGTGTTCTGGGCTTCAAGACTTTTGCCGCCAGGTGTTCTGGGCTTCAAGACTTTTGCCGCCAGTTCCTCCGGGAACCACCGTCTCTCCTTCCTTTGCCTTACGATCGAGCTCCGATCTTTCCTGTGTCGTGCAGCCATCGTCACACACCGTTTCTGTGAATTAACCGATGAAACCAGAAGTTCGGAAGGTACAAGCAGAGCTTCTAAAAGGCAACGTATGCATTTGTACTTTTGATTGTACGAAATGCTTCTTTATCCGGAATTAATGGCCTACTTACGGTCGGAAACGTTCGGTGGCAGTACTACACAGGCTCCACTACTTTAGTTTAAAGAGAAATGATTTTTGTATAATTTTATTGTTATTATTATTATATAATTTAATATATTATTAAAATAATTAATTTTTTTTAATTTATATTAAATTATAATATTAAATATATTTATTAATTTAATTTAATGATATATAAAAATTATATAAAAAATAAAATAAAAAATTTATTCGTATAATACGACCTTAATTTTAGTAACACGTGGTAACTTGGTGGCAGAAGTAAGCACACTTGTTACACGTAGGTGATAGCAAGGTAGAAGATTACACGTGCCAATGTGCCGTGCCATTTGTGTCAGAAAAGCTGCACAGCGGTGCACCCCGTGAATCCGTGATTTCCGATTTTGCCGACTTGTCATTTTCCTAGATTATCAATCACGCATTTTCCACTTGTTCACGGCCATGAGAACGTGACAATTTGAAAATCTTTCAAACGTCTAAAAATTTACCTCTTCATGGCCACGACACAAAGGATATTTTTATTCTACACTCACACGTGTCTTTGGGGCTATACGTTGAGGCAGTTGCGCCCTTGGGAGTACCTTTCAACATTAATTGTTATTAAAAAAATAAAATTTAATATTTATTTAATTAAAATAATTTATATAATATTAATAATAAAATTAATATTAATTTTTATAATTTTTTATGTAAATTAAATATTAAAAAATAAATTATTATACTTTTAATATGTGTTTTAAAAATAAAATTAAATAATATGTGTTTTTAAAAGTACAAATTAAACACATCCATTAATAAATTATACAAGTGCTTATTTTTCATTGAATTTCAAGAAAAGCAATATGAACTTTGCTAAGCTCTTGCTGCTCTTGGGTGCGTTTTTTCGTCGTAAAAGAGAATTTCGTTTCAATGTTTATTACAGGAGTACAACACAACAGTAGAGTACTATTGGGCGCCATTCCTCGTGGAATCTAATTCAGATAATCCAACGATGCATAGCAGCATTCAGGACCGCTTAATCAACTCTAAATCAATCAACATACATGGAGATAAATGGAAGGGTGTTGATTACTTGGTCTTCAACACTTATGTATGGTGGATGAACACTGTGTCAGTCAAACTTCTGTAAGTATATTTCATCACAATACTTCAAAAAAATAAAAAGAAAATCTCCATTCAGAGAAATATACGTTGATGAGGTGAGGTTAATCAAGTTGTTTAACTTGTAATGTTGATGGAATAGGCGAGGATCGTTCGATGATGACCCTGTGAAGTTTGATGAAATTGAACGTTCCATAGCTTACAGGGAAGTACTCAAGACATGGGCAGAGTGGGTTGAGAACAATGTTGATCCTAAGCGAACTAGTGTCTACTTCATCAGCATGTCCCCTGTTCATTACAAGTATAGTTTTCGCATACTTTGCTTCAAATTCATCATTTTTAACCCAAACCCCTGGCCTGACCTCTAGAATTGAGTTTTTTAACTGAAATTTCCTGACTTGGTGAAAACAGTAGCGCGCATTGGAATAATCCAGATGGGATAAGGTGTGCTAAGGAGACTGCTCCAGTATTGAACATGTCAATCCCAATGTATCTAGGCACAGACAAACGGTTATTTGAGGTGGCGGAAAATGTGACTCAATCCACTAAAGTACCAGTCCATTTGATTAACATCACCGCCCTCTCTGAGTACAGAAAAGATGCACACACCTCTGTCTACACCCTCCGGCAAGGAAAACTGCTCACGCCGGAGCAGCAGGCAGACCCAGCCACATTCGCAGACTGCATTCACTGGTGCCTACCAGGGCTGCCAGATACTTGGAACGAGTTACTCTATGCACATATCATTTCTCATTCTTGAGTTCTTCACCTCCAATTTTTCTTTGGTTGATCACATTAGTGTATCTAAGAAAAATCATTATGAGAAATTTTAGATGTTAGGAGTTCTATTCCAATATATTTTATTTTTTGATATCAGAATAAAGAAATGTATTTACACAAATTGTAAAAAGCAACAATTTCATCTTTTAGTCCCTTCTTTTTGTGAATATTTACAATTAAATAATAAAGATTTTACCATAACACTGCTGTAACTTGAGTCTTAGTCAGGCTAAAGCATTAGGTACACTAACTGTTTATGTTCACGTTTACTTTCGCTTTTCATGAATTCTAATAGTCTATTTGTCTTTTGAAATTCTGTATTAGACACATGCCAGACAGCTAATTTCATTTTGAAAAAAA